CCTCTGTGCTATCTTTCTAGGACTCAGGGAAATCTGCTGAAAATTCCCACGAAGTCCAAGAACAAAGCACTGTCATGTGGCCAGCCCCAAACCCAACTTTCTTTTTTTATTTTTTCAACCTAGGAATTGTGTCATGTTTTGGTTTCCATTTCAGCCTGCTCAGCGGCTGAGGCACAGCTGGGGAAGGACCTTGGTTATACAGAATCCAAGGCCAAAAGCAAACACAGCATCAGAAAGGCAAACTCCTGGGCAGCAGCCATGCAAAGAGGGAAGATGCCATGTCCATGGCCAGAGAGAGCAGGGCTGAGTGTTATTTGCAGAAAACAAGCCTGAATCCTGGCTCCTCAGCCCTCCACTGCCCACAGCTGGAGCTGCATAGCTCCATCTTGCTCATTCAGTCTCACGCTGGTACGAATCCAGGCCTGCAAACACAGTAGCTGAGGATGCCTCAGATCCACAACTGAACACATGTTCCTCCTTTGGGAATGGAACCAACTACATTTAGTTCTGTCCTTTGTCTAACTGCACCATCCTATATCCTGCCTCCTATACCTGGCACACGTCACTCTTGGGAGCTTTGTTTCTGCAACTATCAGAAGACTGTGTAAACACCTACTTGCAGAGCTGGTTTTAGCAACAAATGAGATGACCTGTGAGGTGCCAGGCATGGAAAAGATGTACAATTTGTGCTGATGCCTGAGTCTGACCTTTGTGTGTTGTCATGTTGGTGTTCTTGGGACCTGGAATTGTGCCCCTGAACATGAAGCCTAACTGTTTTGGCATGGGAGACATCTGGTAGACCACAGTGTAAAATATGTGTTTTATTGACCCATATTCCTGTGGGCTAGAGGCATCCCTGACTCTCCTCCATCCCTTCCTTGAGCCTTATTCCCTTACCCTCAGCCTGCTCAAAACAGAGTGTCTCTTAACCAATTTCCTTTGAGGGTTTGGGACTCAGAGACCTCCTCAGGGGCACAGAGAGACAACAGGCCACTGAGCTGGAGTGAAGGAGCTTGAGATACCCCAATATCTCCTGTCTCTCCTCTTCTTCAGCTCTGCCTCTACTGCCTGTGGAGTTGATCTGGAAGTGGTCCACCAGAGACCAAAGAACACTGCCTTCTGCCCTTCCTATCTCTCTCCTTCCCGGGTGCTGATTTTCAGACAGGTGAGGAGCAGGCTGTGAGCCCTGGAGGCAGAGTGGTGGGGTGGGCGGAGCATAAGAGTTCAAGTCAAGTGACAACCCATCCCCAGCTGTGTAACCAAGGGCATTTGAGGAATGAAGAAACCAAATACAGATGGGGCTTACTATTCTGCCCAGCTGAAGAATGTGAAGAAGACTCCATCTGGAGGGAAACTGCATGGCCCACATCTCTATCTAAATAAAAAAAGAAACCATGCCTAAATTAATGCCTCAGCTTGCAGGACTGAGAGAGAAGAAATCAGGGAAAACATTTGAACACTTGGCTCTGAATTCATTATGGTACAAGATCTTTATCCGTGTTTCATTTAAAAAGAAAAATAAAACAACATGCCAGCCTCACAGTGGATACGGAATTACAACCTGGCTAATTCATCGAATACCTTAGCAAAGAGATTAGAGAGTGAATCCAAGTACTGTGGCACCAGCCCCCCAGCCCACTCCTGCCCAAGCCCAGAGCAGGTGGAGCAAACGCACCATCGCTGATTCTCCCTCCAACTGCTATGGGGGCCGGAGTGAAGGGTGGGGAGCTCTTTTGAACAACCGCCTTGGGCAGGGCAAAGAAAAGGGGTGGGTCCCCTTTCAGAAGTGCAATTGAAAAGGATATGCTGAGGGGTACATTTCTGATGGTGTGATCTGAATATGATAACATGGAATTAGCAAGAGAATTATTTTCCATTGGCTGCCTATCTCTCAACAAACTACTTTGGCTGGTAGTAGGGGGAAAAAACCCAAACCTTAAAATTAATCTTATTTAAAACAAAGAGATAAAGGATTTGGGGAAGTATTTCCAGGAACCCCAGGCGAGAGTGGGCATGAGGCATGGAGGAGACATCGGGGGGGAGGGGTGACCGGAGGGTCCCTGCTGTCCTCTGGTTTTCCTAATACAGACCTTCCTCGTTCCCTCCCCTTCCCACCCATCTGCCATCTCCTGTCTCCCCAGCTGCCTGTTGGCTGCCAGGAGCCCCCGCGGGCCTGCTTTACGTTTCACCCTGATGCGGACCTTGTTCCATCGGAACGGAATGGTTTATCTAAAAAGGAATTCACAGGAGCTGGTGGAGGCTGATACTGGTAGTCTGTTAGGTGACATTTGTAATTTACCAAGGAGTCCTTTAGGGCCTTATCAGAACAAAGGGGAGGAGGCTTTTATTTTACAAGTGTCACACGTCATTCACAGGGCAGGGATCTTTGAATGGAGGAGCAGGACGGATGGGCAAGTTCCACAACAATTCCCTAAATCACTGCATGGACAGTTATAGACCAGGTCTGATATAGAGACTTCTGCAGTCTCTGCCTTTCTTGTCCTTGCTGTCTGCCTGTGACGCTTTCCAGAGCACTGTGACGCCATGTTGAAAAAGACTGTCACTGTCTTAAAAATAAGGAAGGACATCGATCGAACACTTATTATGTTCAGTCAGTTCTCCAGGCCCTTTATGTTCATTAACTAATTTAGTTCTCACAACCATCAGAGATGAGGCATGGACTCATTGAACCATCTGCCTAAGGTCACAGGACAAGTAAATGGCAAAATCAGGCTTCACACACAAGCTGTCTGACTCCCAGGCTCCCGCTGGAAACTGAGATCTGGAATGTAACCCTAGCAACTAATGCAGTGCCGGGGTAACAGTCGCTACTTCTGATTTTCCTTTTACGTCTGTGTGACGGTTAGTTTCATGGGTCAACATGAGTGGGACACAATGCTCAGATACTTGGTCAAACGTTCTGGAGGTTCCTGTGAGAGGGAGCCTTTAGATGAGTTTCACATTTAAATCAGTAGACTTTGAGTAAAGCAGTTTGCTGTCCATATTGTGGGCGGGCCTCAGCCAGGTAGAGAAACTGAGTAGCAGGACAGGCGGATCTTGCTTGGGCATGAGGGCGTCCTCCAGCGGGCTGCCTTGGGACCCTACGGGCGCCTCTTTCCTGTCTCTAGCCTGCTGGCTGGACTTGTCAGGCTTCCACAAGCATGTCAGCCATTTCTTAAAATACACTCTTCTTATATATACACATCCTATTGGTTCTGTTTGTCTTGAGAACCCTTACAAATAGAGTCTCCTTTGCCAAGAAGTTCCTCCAAGTTAGATCCCAGGGCCTTTTTTTCCTTCTCAGTCTAAATTTTGCTTATTTTCTATGCAAATTTTTTCCTGCCTATCATCTCAGTGACTATCTATATGCCAATAATTCTCAGATTTATCCCCTCTTGTCAGATGTCTATGACGCTCCAGATGTACGTATCTGTCTACTTGGCCTGTGTTCTTCCATATCTGACAGGCACCTGAATGAAGCATGTACAAATGTAAACCTATGATCCCGAAACACTGACTCTTTTTCAAGGTTCTCTATCTCTGCAAAATGTACCTGTATTTATCTGAAAGACCAGCAACCATTCTTAACAACTCTCTCTACCTTATCTCCCCACTTAATCCATCACCATCTCCTGCCAAGGTCGCTGCAGAAATTTCCCAGATCTTTTTACTTCTCTCCATCTCCACTGCCCCCACCTTACATAACCTACGGGCATTTCTTATGTTACTCCAATGGTTAACTTTTTAAGTGGTCTAGTTGCCCATTCTGTTTCCCCTTTAATCTTTTTTCTTCACATGCCAGCCACAGTAATCTTTTAAAAATATAAAGCTGACCATCCCATTCGGTATCATACCTGTTTGGAACCATTCAGTGACTTTTCATTCTGCTCAGGGAGAAGGCTAAATTCTTAGCCTGACTATGTGGTGGAGCCCTGCATGGTCTTGTCCTGCAGTAATTTTCTTTTTGCTCTCTATAGCCCACCCGACCTTTTTTTTTTTTCTTTGTCCCTTGAAAGTGCTTCCTCATATCACTGGTCCTTTGCAAATACCTTTTTTCTTTTTGAAAATGTAGAGACTTATTCGCAGCCTCTCAACTCTCATATCATGAGTCACTTCAAGGGGAAACTGTTGTGTTCCACACACCCCTCCCTCACTCCAGTCAGATTCCTTTGTTACACCATCTCATAGTACTTATCTAAATTAACAGGAATCAGAGCTAAGATTTAGAGTGCTTGCCAAGTTCAAGTGTAAACACAGTGCTGAATATTTTACAATTATTATGTAAATATTATCTAACTAAAATTACAACAAAACCTGAGAAGTAGGTGATGTTATTATTCCCTGTTAGAGACTAGAAACCTGAGAACCCAGATGGGAATCTGAGTGCATTCGCCAATGACTGGGCAGGCATTTGGCTCTCCCATTAGGTTGCGTGTTTGGAGTGAGTTGGGGCCAGGTAAGTAACCAATGGGCACTGTTAAGAGGACTGCCAGGCATGTAGAATGTGTTCAGGACCTAGCTGGTGATTGAAATAATGACGAAAATTTGAATGATTAATGAACTAGAACACATTTTAATATTGAGACTAACTGGGTAACCCTTTCACTCTCTAAGTTAGTCATCCATGAGATTATTTACAAATTCTAGACGTTACTTGCACATGAGAAAATGGCATTCCCAATACTAGAGATGTTTAGAATACCCTCTACTCTATGTTTTGATGTCCATCTGCTCCATTTCTGAATGAGGCAGCAATTTAGTTTAATTTTGCTCACAGTGAAGGATAATATTTTTTTTGTACCAGTTATTCTGAGGCTTCTAAAATAGGAGTCACACTCACACAGACACACACTTACAAACATGGACATGCTGTGTTAGGTAAGTCTGCACTGGCAGCTGTAAGAAACAAACCCTAAATTTCCAAATTTAACAAAAAAGTTATTTCTTATTTGTGTAACAACCCGCTGAGAGCGTTCTTGCTCAGCCAGACAGCTTCTCACCTGGTGAGCCAGGACTCCAGGCTCCCTCCGTCCCTGAGAGCCTGAGTTCTCTAGCCCAGGTGGCAGTGAGGAGAGCCAGCATGAAGAAGGCATGCCTGCTTCCTAAAAATCTTGGTCCAAAATAAGGCATGTCACATCCACTTCTATTCCATCACTAGAAATTCATCATGTGGTCACACCTGACTCTAGGGAAGGCAAGTAAATGGTGTCCATTTATATGCCCAGGAAGAAAAGAGGAAAAATATATTTGAGTGAGTCACCTGCCATCTCTGCCTACCTCCCACCCTATAATACAAAACTGACAGATGCTTTAAGAGTAGCACAAAGTGCCCTGGAGTATGGGAAGATGGAGCTAAAGTTTAATGGTGGGCACTGGGAAGGCTGGCAGAGGAGAGGGTTTTCAGTGAGTCTTGAAGAACAGGTGAGTCCTCGATAGAAACAGATCCTAGCAGACATCTCTGCGATGGAGCAGTGTCCAAAATGGTGAGGTCCGAAGTCAGGAGGGAGTGAGGATGTGAGCAAGAATATATGCTGTGCCTTGGTCTGTGTGTGTATATCTCAGTATCAAGTTGAAATTATTTTAATAATCTCTTTTCCTGAATTCCTTCTATAAGTAATTAAATAAACAGAATTATCCCCTCCACCATAAATATCTTAGTCCCTAATGTAAAGGTATGAAATAATTAGAGAGTATGCTGTGTATGAATTTTAATGTCATGGAAAATAGTACAGTATATTCTCAAGACTGTGCTAATCATACACAAAGGGAAGGCTGAACAAAGGGAAGATGTATAATTAGCAAAGCACAGCTTATTATGTACAACCAGATCTGTTTAGAGGCTCTTTTGACTCTAGATATGTAATAAATCAAGAACGATCTAGTATTTGCCTTTTAGTGGACAACTCTGGAGATTTTAGAAATATAGGGCCTGGCCATTTTGGGTTTGACTGTGGTGATGATGCAGGCTACCACTCTAGTCTAAGTGGCATAGAGGAAAGAGCAGGGTCTCTGGAGGGAGATCTCTGCCCCCTTCCTCGGTCTGCTCCTCATTGACTGGTTGATCATAATGCCTATGGGCTGCTTTCTCCACTGTATGGTGATGCTGATATTTATGAAAGTGCCATTAGTGCCAGCCAGACCCAATAACAAAAAACATAACTAGAGCCAGACAAGTCAAAGACAGAGTTGAGACTGACCAGACACTGATGCTCGTGTTGATGCATCAGCATATTGAAGGACACACCTGGAGGCTCATGAATATTCTGTTGCGATCCTCCCCTGAGACTTCTTCTAAAATCCCCACCTTTAGAAAACAGATAAAAACCCTAAAGGCAAAGGCCCCAGTGCCCACTCCCTTGAGCATGTCCACGCCTCCCTTTCCTCAGGCAGGAACTTATATGTTCCTTTTCTTCAGCTCCAAGGGCCCTTCTTTTGCCTGACTTTGCAGTAAGCTTAAAGGAGCCCCACCTGCGTTCACTTCGGTTCCTGTTATCTTGCTTCATCTATCCTGAGCCTTTCCTTTGTTTCACTGTCTCTAGCTTTAATAAATGCACTCTCAAAATCACCTGGACTCATGTCTTGAATTCTTCTTGCACAAAGTCAAGAATCTACACACTCCAAACTGCACTGGGACAGACCCGCCTTAGCTCAGTCCCTTTCCAGTGACAAAACCACTTAGAACTGAGCCGGAAGTATATTAAAGACCCATTTTACAAATTTAGATCCATTTCCCTTTTCTTTTCCTACCTTAGTTTTCTTAAGAAAAATTTCATTCCCCTCAATAAAAGCCCTTAAGACTTTAAGAACTTTGTAAGAATGACTGTAATGTCAGATGGATGTATTTCCTTTAAGTCTACCAAACTTTAATAAAGGCAGTTATATCAGTGGCTCTCTCTGAGCCATGTGAAGGATAAAGAAATACCTTAGTTGTCAAATCCAAGGAGGGCTGACTCAGCCCTTCTTTTCTTCCAAAGAAGATAAATTGCATCTCATATAATTTGCTTTTGGCTAGGGGGTTTTTGTTTTGTTTTCAAACAGGATCTCTAGTGCAAAAGACAAACTCTCCTATGTATTCATTAGAAAGGGCTATGAGGAGTCCCATAAAGGTTTGGGCTTTTCCCTAGATTCTGTTGGCAGAATATTAGAAATTGACATGAAAAGCAGAGAGCTTAAAAATTGCACAATACTACATATTATTCAATTGCAAAATGCAAAATTGCTGCCCATCCCAAGCCTCAGCTCAGCTATGAATAGTCTATACAGCCAAGTGCATCTCAGTGTTGACTGAAAGGAGAGAGGCCCTCAGCTCCTGAGAAGGCGCTGGGATTACATTATCATATCAATGGCCCACATGCAAAGTTCCTGATAAATGATCATAATCCAGAGGCAAGAGATAAAATATGAGAGTTTGATTTCTGTAAACAAATCAAAGGTATTTAAAGTCAAGCTACTTAATCTACGTTATAGCACTGCCAGGAATATAAACATGAGAACAGCCTCAGAGCCAGAACAGGAAGGAATTAAGAGGATAGAAAGAATTTTAAAGATTATTTGCTACTTTTCCCTGATTTACTATAATCCAGCCGTTTTGGCCTTCTTTCACGTCTGTGAACCAGCCAAGCTCTAGGCCTCTCATCTTAAAGCCTCTATAAATCATCATTCTACCTCTTCACAGATGCCTCTTGTAACAGTCAGGATTGTCTCCATTAAGCTGCATTAACAAATAGCTTCCCTATCTCAGTGCCTTAAGGCAGTTAAAGTCTGTTGTTGTTTTCTCATGCTACTTGGTCAGAGTGGGTTGGCTGAGGGGGTCTCTGTTCTTTGAAGTCACATAAGTTCCAGGCTAATCGAGTAACCACATCTTGGACCACACCACCAGTCAGAATGCCACAAGGCGCTAGAGCAACAATTAAGTGCTCCAGAAATGACACAAGTCATTTCTAAGCACAACACAGTGGCCAGACCAAATCCCATGGTCCTCTGAAACCTCAGGGAGAGCAGGGCAGTGCAATTCTGTTCTGTGCCTGGAAAGGGAAGGGAATAGAAACAGCTCTCTTGACTCTCACCCCTCCCCGGACCAACCTTTTTGAAGCAGGTTCTAGCTCCTCACTGCCTTAGCGCCCCTTTTGTATTTTTCGTAGTGCTTATCACAATTCGTAATTGCATTATTTACTTAATAAATAATCTTTTATTTTCAGTCTTTTTCCACTATTGAACTGATAGGTCTGTAAGAGGAAGGCCCATGTCAGCACACTAATACTATATTGCACAGGTATCAAAACTGGTCAATCTGCCTAATGTATTTGTCTTGAATTTGGAGAATCCTTACAGCGATAATTTCATGTCTTTCAGCCCAAGTCCTTTCAGGCTGTGTGCTGACGCCTCTCCATGGCTTCCTAGCTGAAGATCCTCTCTCTACAAAGTGGCAGGGGCTAAAGCAAAGACAAACTGGGCATCCCTTCAAACGCCGTTTTGAAACGAATTGGGAAACTATCAACTAAAATCTCACAGAAATCTCCATAGGCCCCAGAAAACCAACATATCCAATGTAAATTGTTGTGCACTTTGTAAATAATGAACAGAATAAAGAAATTTGGTGAATTGGCATTTCCTTGAATTTACTTTTGGCAAATCAGCTTGCAGGGAATTTGCTCAGAGCTACCCTCTCACCCTCCACCAACAGATGTACTTTATTGACCAACTGAGCCCGGAATTTGGAAGTCACTCTGAAATAGCTGTCCTTTTATGGGCAAAATAACATAGTTCAAAGAGATTAAGTTACTGGCCCAAATCACAGAGGTGACAGTGGGAAAGACAAAAGTGGGATTCAGTCCTTCCTGCCAGTGCAGGGATCCTCTCCCTGAGTCACCCACAGGCCGACGGAGATCATTTTCACAAACTTATCATGCTGTTTAGGGCAAATAGTAAGTGTATACAGGAAATTTTGAGTATTTCTCTTGCTTTTGAAAGTCACTGCCAATAAAAACGTTTTCATGATTACCTGTTATTTTAGATTCTTCTTTATAACTATACCATCATTTTTATACTATACTTTTCAAGCAAAATAAGAAATAGTTGAAGTACAATTGCCCATGAGACAAGGTTATTTCAGCAAAGAAGTTTCAAAAATCAATTAGCTATGGCCTTGGAGAAATGGATATTTAAGTAGGTGTTCTCTCAGGTGACCTAAGGCATGTCTTTAGTTCCCTAATATTTCATCTTAAAAGTGGCCACCACTAAAATCAGCCAAAGGTTTCTTAGGTAGTAAACATGAATTTTAGAAAAGGACTTTTTTTTTTTTAAAGCTATCATGTTCTTTCTTCTACTCATTCAGGAACACAGCTTTTATGTCAAGGGGGTTTTTACATATTATAACTGGTAAACATTAATAAAAGAAAAAATTAAACTTTTCTTTCTATTAGTCCTTAGATGTTGATTTCTGATTTTATAGAATTGCTGTTATTTTCCCACAGCGACGGCCTCCACAACAGAACAGTGTGTTCTCCTCCTACCTGTTGGGCGGGGCTTGCTGGGTTCTTCTTACCCCAGGGGCTGGGCACAAAGCATGGTCTCAGCGTGTGATGAGGAGGACTGTAACGGCTCGTGCCCGGGGAGGCTGCTGCTTAAAAACTGCAGAATCCTGTGGGGGTAACAAGAAAAAGAAGACATTAGAAAAAATGAAAATTAATCAGGCTCTGAGAAATCAAGGCAGAATTCTGTCATTTAAAAAAAAATAGACGTATTTAGTTTATAAGCACAGTACACAAAATGCATGGCATGTGGGTAAGCACTAAATAGAGGTTGATCAAATGAAAAAGAGAATGAATAAATGAACAAATGAAGGTCAGAGCTGGTCCTAGAATTGCAAACCATACACCCACAAGACCAGGCAAGCAGGGTGAATGAGGGAGCAGACCGTGTGTGAGACAGCAGGGAAAGGTGGGGCTGTCGTGGGCTAGTGCGCTCATATCTCACCTGAAGGGGGCAGCCTGCTCATGTCTAGCTGATAGTTTTCATTGATGCCATAAGGAAAAACAAGCTCAATCATGCCGCTACTGCAGATTTTCAAGGGAAGACAGAAATACAGATTTCTATGCGAAATCTCTTGAATTCATATTTAGAATTCAATTAATCAAAACAAAACATTGTGTAGGTCAAACAAGGCTAAAGTGAAAGCCTCCTGAGGGTCAAGATGAACTCATGGGTAGCCAGCTTCTACCTAAGATCTAGGGCAATATCTTTAATTCCCAAATGATGAAACGGGCTGAAGCCAGTTGGGCAACCACACTCTGTAACTTGTGGCAGAGCTGGGGTTTTCAGGCACGAGTATCTTCCCTTTAACTTAGGACCGTCACTGTCACTTATGACCACTCTTAGACTGGCTGAATCTGATCAGACCTGTTGAAATAGCAGATCAGAAGCCAACCAGCAGCTGCCTTCAGTTGATCTGATCCTTGGGTCTCAAGCTGTATTTATATAGATTTTCATAATAGAAGGTGTAATTTTCTGTTCTCACCATTTGTATCATGGGAAGCTGAGTGACTGAGAGATGAGATGGTTCCTCATAGGAAATAATACTCTGATTACAGGCATTTGTTTGGAATGGTCTTTGAGCAGTGTGGCCAGATGCGAAGAGTAGCGGCGAGGGGTATGGGAGGAGGCATGAGCAGGGCCCACTGGATCCAATTGCTGGTTCTGGTTCCTATCAAAATGCTTCTCTGTTTATATGAAGGTGGTGTTGTGTGATGGTTAAGTATATGAAATAGCTTTAAACATTGACTCAGCTGCTTACTGTGACTTAAGCTCTTTAGATCCCATGTGTAAAATAGTGATAGCAACA